ATCTATCTATCTATCTATCTATCTATCTATCTATCTATCTATCTATCATCTCTCTCTCTGTTTCTATCTCTATATCTGTCATTCTGTCTGTCCGTCCATCCATCCATCCATCCAACCATCCAACCATCCATCCATCTCTTTACACACACACCATTTACATTTACATTTTGCATTATCTTTTATTCCTATCTTCAGTTCTATCTTACCCAGAGGTGATATTCAAAGTAGGTTCTGGCCAGTTCTGGAGAACCGATAGTGGAAATTTTGAGTAGTTCGGAAAACCGGCAAATGCCACCTCTGACTGTCCCCGCCAACTCCATCTATTCTCCGCCTCCCGAATCCAGCTGATTGGCTGGGTCTCCTTTGGTTGCCCTGCCCAGGAGAACGGAGCTGGAAAGCAGGTTAGTGGGATGGAGAGGGAAAGGGAATTTTGCGGTAACCTTCCCCTGGAATGGGGTGGAAGGGAGATTTTATAGTATCTTCTCCTGCCACGCCCACGAAGCCACACCCACCAAGCTACGTCCCCAGAAATGGTAGTAAATTTTTTTGAATCCCACGACTGATCTTACCCCACTCGGTCTCCCATCCAAGTTCTAACCTAGCCTGTCCCTGCTTAGCTTTGAGGAGAGAAACATGGAAAACTTTAACAGCAGGAAAAAAATACATAGTGGTCTATTGAGTTTGCTCTTTTAGTTTTTTTTTTTGAATACATGCATTTGTTGTTTTGAAACTCAAATACTTTGGCCGCCTAATGAGAAGGAAAGACTCCCTGGAGAAGAGCCTAATGCTGGGAATGGCTGAGGGCAAAAGAAGAAGGGGACGGCGGAGAAGGAGGTGGCTTATTGTTATAACAATAAGATTTTTTATGCGTAGTAGTATAAAGTAAGAACAGAGTACCGATATTGCAGTAATGAAAATGTATTAATTGTAATTGTTATTGCACAAGATATTTGTATCCAGATGACACACCATTTAAATGGAAGATGGATTGTTTGCATAAAATAAAAATTTTAAAATATTATTTAAAAAAAAAAAAGAGAAGTGGGGGGCTGGATGTAGTCACTGAAGCAGTCAGCGTGAGCTTAAATGGACTCTGGGGGATGGTACAGGACAGGAAGACCTGGAGGAACGTTGTCCATGGGGTCGTGATGGGTCGGACATGACTAAGAACAACAACAAATTTGTTGTTTTTATTTATTATTATTATTATTTTTTTAAATTTTTGTCAATGTTTATCTCAAACGTATTTAAACTCAGTGACTGATGACGGAGTTCCAAACATGCTGGGGATTAACATATGTCCATAATTTAAACAAAAATTAAACACTAAAATTAAACCTAGATTAAACTTGGCTCAAGGCTACCATCTGCTGGACGGATCTACTGTTAAGGTCAAAAGAACAAGGGCATTCTTATTATATTTATAAAATGTTATTAGGATAGATTTGGTATGACTATATGATTTGTTATAAAATAAATTAAGTAAACTATAGTTATTTCGCAAAGTATGAATGAATAAAATCATGGTCAAATAATTGTTTAATAGCGATACTAGGGTATATAATTTCTGATTGACAATATGAGATATTATGTAATGTAATTGTAATTGAGAAATGGATGCACAAAAAATTGGTAAACCAACCGATACACTGTTTGTATATTTATGAAAGAAAGTTGGATGTTTTTATGTTTTGTCTGTTTTGTTTGTTTTTAAAAATCAATAAAATTGTTTTTAAAAAAACAAAACCAAGGGCATTCTTCAATGAAAATCAGCTCGGAACTATCACTTGACTAGATTTACAAATAGTTAAATAATGATTGCTTCACTAGGTTTAAAAATGGTCTTTTGGGTGAGGCTGAACTCACTTTTTGAACAACGTAAAGAAAAGATTTATCTTTTTCCAAGGTTTTGTTTTTCTTCCAATGAGCCTTTTCAATTGTAGTCACTCGATGGAGCTCTAGGATAAATAAAGCAACCTTTTTTTTTTTTGCAGGAAAGGAGAATTTTTATAAATCTTTCATAGAGGAAGTTATGGAAGAAACAACCAGAAGCTCTTTATCCTCAATCTGTCTCCTCTTTTTGTATTTTCTTTACAACTTGCAAACTCACGCCTATTGCAATGCATTTCTATCTGCCTGGCACAGCCGAACGGTGTACGTTTTATTGTATTGACACTTTTTGCACACTGAAGTCTCAACTCATGTCATGCCCTTGTTGGAGTCTGATTCTGAGGGGGAGATTGAGCAGCTGACAGGGAGTGGGAGTGTGGCTCCGATGGCTGTAGAGGAAACTGGGGAAGGGCACAGTCCGGCTGGGCATTCAGAGGAAGACCCAGGCCCACCCCCTCTTCATCCTAGGGCATGCAGGGAGGAACGGAGAAGGGAGCAACATGGCTTATGGGGGAGGAAAGGGCCCTGATCCATTTCATTAGTTGCAGCTGGGCGAACAGGATACAAGTGGGGCGTTTGCACACAGCTCCTTGCTGGAAGCAAAGTGTGCATTATCTTTGTCGAGGTTTTTCTGGGTTTTGGCATCCTCCCAACTGTGGGTGCTGCGTTATCCTTTGAAGGTCTGCAATTTGTCATCCTGGCCTGCCGTGTTAATTAGTTCAGTGTGGTTTGTGTTGTTTTTTTTATTTCTAATTATCTTTACTTTGGGTTCGGACTGCATTTCTGCCCTTTGTAGACTGTTTGATATCCAGCCAAGGATAATTGGACATTGGGGGCCAAGTTGGAGGCATTAAAGGGAATTTATTCTACTTTTGTGACTTTGTTATTTTTGTGTCACGCCCCAGGTCTTCACAATTCTCTAATTCTTCAGTCTGTAGATATAGAAGAGTCCAAGGCCTGTAATCCTCTACATATCTCAGATGATGGGGCTGGGATCAGTTCCGGGTTCAGCCAAGCTGGTCAAAACATTGAAAGCTGACATAAAGCTGAATATCCCAAAGGTGCTTTTTCAGCAGGCAAACTGGATTTCCTTGTTTTTCTTTTCTTTGAAACCTTTCGCTTCTCATCCAAGAAGCTCCTTCAGCTCTGACAAGTGTGGGGGAATGAATGGATTTCCAGGGGGGAAAAATTGGACACTACAGGAACCATTTGCGCCACTCAGGTGACCCTGAGGACACAGAGAAACCTCCAAGTGGCCTCAAGGACCCTCTAAAAATGATGCAAATGACCAGCTGTCTGCAAGGAATATAAATCCTTCCGTTCCTCACCATCCTGTCAGAGCTGAAGAAGCTTCTGGGATGAGAAGAGAAACGTCTTCCAAGAAAAAAAACCAGAAAGTCCAGTTGCCTCTCGAAAAAGTACCTTTGGGGCAACCAGGAGACCTGGAGGGCTGAGAATCTCCATAGACTTTCTTGGCTGTTTTTCCTTGAAGAGGTTTTGCTTCTCATCCAAGAGGCTTCTTCAGTTCTGGGCTAGGGTTGAACTGAAGAAGCTTCTTGGATGAGAAGTGAAATGCCTTCAAAGAAAAACCAGAAAGTCCCGTTGCCTCTTGAAAAAAAAGCACCTTTGGGATGACCTGGATCTCTACAGACTTTTAACACTTGAATAGTTGACACCATAACAACCTGGAGGGGACGAGAGGCAAGGACAGGAAAGATATGATTTGGAAAAGACAGCCCTTCCATTAAAATTTCCCTCAGGACAATATCCACCCCTCCATGCCTCCATGTAAGAAGTAATCACGCACCCCGCTCACAGAATGAAATATTTTGGGGGATATCAAATGAGGCAGAATATTATAGTGGGGACTTTCTGGAATGCTGACAGGCCGCAAATGCAGGGGTGGGATTCAAATGTTTTAACAACCAGTTCTGTGGGCGTGGCTTAGTTGGTGGGCGTGGCTTGGTGATCATGTTATTGGCTGGGCGTGGCCAACTCAACATCACTCACATCGAGGCACGCATCTCCTCGCCTGGCCTCTCATGACTGTGGGGATGCTGCAACAGTCGTAAGTGTGAAAAATGGTCATAAGTCACTTTTTTCAGTGCCATTGTAACTTTGAATGGTCACTCCACACAAGCAAAATACCAGCAAAGGAGGGGAAAAAAACTCCAGAGACGTTCCTGAGACAGGAAGTCTAGTCCTGTCAAGAATGTAATAAGGGTTAACAGAGGGGCAGTTTCTGTAAGCAATACCAGAATGTTTCCTTCCTGCCTTCCTTACAGGATTAGGCCAGTAATTTCTTCTAACAACCGGTTCCCTGAACTGCTTAGAACATTAACAACCGGTTCTAGAGAATAGGTGCAAACCTGTAGAATCCCACCCCTGCCCAGGACAGCCCCACTGGCCAGATCTAAATACCCCATGGGCCAAATCTGGCCCTGGGCCTTGTTTTAGAACATAATAGGCCTAACTCACCACCATTGAAATGGCACAAGACACCAAAGACCCTTCATTGCACAATCCCCAGAACAGTTCAAAGTCACAGAAACCTTTAAAGCTCCATCAAGCAATTTGTCAGCTGTCCCAGAACAACATGCTGTTGGTGGTCCTGCTAATCGATAAACAGAGTCCTTCTTTCCATGTGGCCTCCATTTGGTTTCTCCCGGCTTGGAACCAGACCGGGTTTTTCTTCCAACACCCCCAAGAGACCCTTCCCACCAGCCTCACCTGACGCCTTGTAGAGCTCTTTCAAGGTGCCCTGGGGCTGTTCGATCTGATGCACCGTCAGATCCACAGTGCCCCCTCCGCAATCGGCCACGATGTAGCGATCCCCTGGCCAGCAAAGGAAAGACAGGTAAGGCTTTGCTTGTTGAAGGTATGCCAGAACCTCACCCAGGTTGCCCACCTGAAATTTTTAGGGGGAATAGGTGCACGGAGCAGAGGAAGAGGAAGCGAGACCAGGAGTGGGCTGCTGGAGTGGTTCACAGGGGTTTGGGAGAGCCCCTAGTTAGGATTCTGTGCAGTTCGGAGGACCCCCAAATCCCACTCTTGGCTGGCCCTGCTCCGCCCACCCTGCCCTGCCCCTCCCAGAAGTCCCCACGTGGCCCATTTTGGATGCAGGTAAGTGCAGGTCGTGCGTGGAGGCTCGAGGAGGGCAAAAAACAGGCCTCCCGGAAGTTTGGGAAGGCCGGAAATGGGCCCGTTTCTGGCTTCCAGAGAGCCTCCGGAGCCCGGGGAAGCCGTTTTTGCCCTCCCGGAGGCTCAAGGAAAGCCTCCTGAGCGTGGGGAAGGCAAAAATGCCCCTCCCCACCATGCTGCCGGAAGTCGACTAGGCCACACCCACCATGGCCACGCCCACCCAGCAACCGGGCAGAGAACCCCTTGCTAAAATTTTTGAAGCCCAACCCTGAGGGAGACCCCCATCATGTCGGCATGATGTCACACCCGGTCATCGTTCAGACAACCAACAGGCAGGAGATCGAGTCAAGGCCAGAACCCCCTCCCATGTTTAACCCAGGGCAGAACCGGTTCTGTATTGTTCCAATATCTCAGGGGCTGCCCCAAAGAAGAGGGGTGGGTCAATCTATTCTCCACACCTGAAGGCAGGACAAGAAGCAACGGATGGAAACTAACCAAGGAGAGAAGCAACCTGGAACTAAGGAGGAATTTCTTGACTGTGAGAAAACAAGTAACCAGTGGAACGGCTTGCCACCAGAAATTGTGGGGGCTCCATCCCTGGAGGCTTTTAAGATTGGACAGCCGTTTGTCTGAAATGATTTAGGGCCGTGATGGCGAATCTATGGCACGCATGCCACAGGTGGCACGCAGAGCCATTTGTGCCGGCACGCGATCTGTAGGCACACTTACCTCACTGGGCATGTGTGCACCTTACACCTGATTTTCAGCTGGTTTGAGGCCTTCTGGGGCCTCCCAAAGGCTTGAGGAAGGCTTCTGCAGGCTTCTGCAGGCCGAAAACTAGCCCCATTTCATCACTTCCTGTTTTTTCTGAAAATACCAGAAGTGACGAAACGGGGCTAGTTTTTGGCCTGCAAAGCCTGCAGAAGCCTTGCTCAAGCCTTTGGGAGGCCAAAAAAGGCCTCAAACCAGCCGAAAATCAGCTGTGAGGCACAGTGCAGGTAAGGGGGCGGCGGGGGTGGGTGGGGATTACATGTGCATGCATAGGGGGCACGGGGGGCGCGCATTGCCTTCTGGGTGCTGGCACGCCAGCGCTTGCGTGCAAGCACATGCACAATTTTTGGCACAGGAGCCCAAAAAGGTTAGCTACCACCGGTATAGGGTTTCCTGCTTGAACAGGGCGGCTGGACTAGAAGACCTCTAAGATCCCTTCCAACTCTGTCATTCTATTATTGTGTCTAGCCTGGAATGGGTTAACACGCCCAGAAAACTAGGGTTGGGTGACATGATAGCAATATTCCAGCCTTTGGGGGGTTGCCACAAAGAAGAGGGGTGTCAACCTATTCTCCAAAGCAGTGGTCCCCAACCTTTTTTATGCCGCGGCCCGGTACCGGCATCAGCTGGGTGCCGCGGCCCGGTACCGGCATCAGCTGGGCGCCGCCATCTTGTTTTGATGAAAAAGTGCTTCCGGTGAGCTCACCGGAAGCACTTTTTCATC